GTCACAACCAGACTTCTTGTGTAGAATTTAGCACAAGTACTTTGTCATGTAGTTGTGAGGAGCATTATGTTTGTGTTTGTTGCAGGGAACAGAGACTCACGGGCATACTGGTGTTTGTCCTCACTGGAGTCTCTGTCTTCCTTGCACCAATACTGCAGGTAATCAAAACGGTCTTACTTTACTTAAATGAAACCATGCTCATTTGTTTTCTCAGTGCTGTACAAATAATTGTGTGTATTTCTGCGCAGTACATCCCTATGCCTGTGCTGTATGGTGTTTTCCTGTACATGGGCGTTGCTTCTCTCCATGGCATTCAGGTACATGTGGCTCTGTAAATCTGTAGTTCAGATTTAATAATTCATCCAAAAATGTCAATTTACTGAAAATGTACTCTCCCTCAGGCCATACAAGATGTAAATGAGCTTGTTTGTTCATCAGAACAGATTTGGAGAAATGTAGCATCACGTCACTTGCTCAGCAATGGATGCTCTGCAGTGAATGGGTGCCGTCAGAACGAGAGTCCAAACAGCTGATAAAAACATCACAATAATCCACACCACTCCAGTCCAGCAAGAAAGTAAGAAGTGAGATTTGTAAGAAACAAATCCATCATCAAGATGTTTTTAATTTCATACCATTGCTTCTGGCTAAAATATGAGTCCTCTATCCATAATATTGCTTTCTCCAGTGAAAAAGGACAGAAATATACACAGATCAAGAACCGTTTACAAGTGAATCCAGATCAAAACTGTTCTAAACTAATATGTTGATGGATTTTGATGTGAGAGGACAACAGGGGATGAACTTTCTCACTGGTGGAAGCCTTATTATGGATTATGGACTCATGTTTTGACCAGAAGCGATGGTTTAAAGTTAAAATATCTTAATTGTGGATTTGTTTCTTACAAACACAGCTTTTCACTTCACTGGATGTTAACTGATGGACTGGAGTAGTGTGGATTATTGTGATGTTTTTATCAGATGTTTGGACTCTCGTTCTGACGGCACCCATTCACTGCAGAGGATCTATTAGTGAGCAAGTGATGCTACATTTCTCCAAATCTGTTCTGAGGAAGAAACAAACTCATCTACATCTTGTGTATGGCCTGAGAGTGAGGAAATTTTCAGCAAGTTTTTATTTTTGGGGGAACCATTCCTTCAGTAGATTTCACCAGAGTTTCCCTGTTTTGTTCAGTTTTGGGAGAGGATGAAGCTGTTCCTCATGCCAGCCAAGCACCAGCCAGATTTTGTGTTCCTGCGGCACGTACCGCTGCGGAGCGTGCACCTCTTCACTCTGGTGCAGATCATCTGTTTGGCAGTCCTCTGGATCCTCAAGTCCACTGTGGCCGCCATCATTTTCCCTGTCATGGTGCGAGTGCTGGTTATATAGGTCATATTTCACCCCAGAATCTAAAGGAAAAAAATCAAATAAATGTTGAAAATATAGTTAATTTCCATGAAAAGAATGTCATACTTCAAAATATGTGAAAGATCTTAAAATAGGCTACATTTTTTATTATTATTTTATTTTTAACTTTATTTTGTGACAAAATGTGACCTGAAGTTTTCATGCAACTCTCCCAGAATAGTAATATGTACATGTAGCATGCATTTTATTTTGATTCTGAAAAATGTTATAGCGATTGAAAATTGCTTAATTTTCATTCAAATAATGTCATAGTGCCAAACCATCTAAAAGATCCTAAAACAGGCTTTATTTTCTTTATGCCAAATATTTAATTTTATATACACTGTTTGTTTTTTTATTTAATTGTGGGATAAGATATGACCTGGATTTTTCTTCACCCATTTGTGACTCTCAAAGCATTATAAGCATTTCATTTGCTTTTTGCATTTGGATGCCGTTCTCTTGCCCTGTTGTCATGTGACCGGTTCCTCCGTCAGATTCTGGGCCTGATGGTCGTGAGGAAGATGCTGGACCTGATCTTCTCACAGCATGATCTGGCCTGGCTGGACGACATCCTGCCCGACAAAGACAAGAAGAAGAAGGAGGATGAGAAGAAAAAGAAAGAGAAGAAGAAAGCCGGAAAGTCGGAGGAACACAACAACAGTGATGAAGAGGTGAGGTTAGATTTCTAATACACTTATGAACACAGAAGATCTCTCATCAAGACGTTTGAGTGGGTTGTGATTTAATCTTTAATATGTTTTCTTTTAATTCCACAGTGTTGCTGAAAAGGCACTGTATAACACTTGTGTTCCTCCTAATAACCATAGTTGTCATCTTGTTTGTAATGTCTCTGTTGTGTAATATGTGGTCATTCGTACAGTGTTGAATGATGTGTTTGCATGAAATGTTTGTTTATTCAGAGTCCAGAATTAACATTTGGCCTTGGATAAATTAAATTGTTAGTGGCCATTTGGCTGGTAGTAGGAATTGCAACAAAGTGCATGATTTAAATTGCAACATCTCTAATTTTTCATCTAATATAAGCGCATTAAGTCAAAGTACTATAATCTCAATGTTTTTTTTTAAGAATCAATCAACCAAAGTTAATTATGGACCCTGGGTACTTACCCTTACAAAACATACACTACTGTTCAAAAGTCAGTAAGGCTTTTTAATGTTTTTTTAAAGTCTCTTTAAAGTCTCTTATGCTCACCAAGGCTGCATTTATTTGATCAAAAATACAGTAAAAATAAATAAATAAATAAAAGTAATATTGTGAAATATTTCAATTTAAAACAACGGTTTTCTTTTATATTTTATATTCTATTATAAATGCTAACACATTTATTAATGACAGAAAATTAATTAATTAAAATGTGTGTATGTATATATATATATATATATATATATATATATATATATACATATATATATTTATATTTACAGTAGTAATGACAAATTTAACACAAACTTTATTTTTATATTTGTATTTATTATTAAAATGTATTTATTAAATATACAAATACAAATTTAAAATATACATATTTTATAGATTTGATTATGTATAATTAATATTCAATAATAAAATCTGTAAAAATATCAACTTTATATTTTTATGTACTTATTAATTATAAAGAAATTAAAAAAAATGTAAGTGTGGGTGTGTGTATATATCATTAAATATATTATTAAGTTGGCGCCCATAGCCTCGTGGGCAGCGTGCCGATATATAACGCCATAGCGTTTCAGGTGTTCCCGAGTTTGAGTCCCGGCTTGCGGACCTTTAATGTCTCCTTGCTGAGTAAAAGTATTAATTTAATAAATAAATCAATAAAAACACAGCAGAGTGCCTGCATGCATATTATCGGTTCCACTGGTGTTGTCTTCTCCCAGTCAAAGTGTCCCAAAGACTCCCTGCCGTCAGTGAAGATTCCTCTGAAGCCAATGAGTCCGTCATGTTGTCCAAACCCTCCTAATTCTGAGCCCTCGGCCTAACTGTGAGTACTGCGACCCAAAGGGGTGCTGTTCCATGAGCAAATCTTCATCTTTATATGTTTTCTTTCTTCTTCGTGTTTGAGTAGGAGCATCACGCTTATTCTTGCACCCCTGGCGACTCGGACCTGGATCCGGACAGATTGACATCCCTTACCTGAACCTGAAGCGTCCTGAAGCTGATCAAACACACAAACCATGATGAGATACAAGCACAGCATCACTGGCGCTGTCCCAAACACACCAGGCTCACAGATGTATGATATTTTTATGTACCGGTACTTGACCAACGCAGCGAGTGACGCACGTTTCCAAACCCACATTAACCATATTGCGCGTGAGTCATTCAGACCTTGGATTTGACTCAAGATCCTTCAGTTAGATCCAGGCGAGCTGTGCCAGTGTGAACGACTGAGCTCATACACACAAACACTTGCTGCGTGAGAAGATCAACACATGAGATTCACCAGATTCAACTCTATTCCGAGAAGAATAAGAAGCGGAAGAGGTTTAAACCAAGTTTATGATTTTATTATCATATTGTATAAATATATTTGAACTGTATGATATTAAATACGGATTTCATAGAACCTAGTGGGACAAAAGCGCAAATAAATTATAGTTAGAAAAACAGTGCATCTAGTAAATTCAGTTGGATTAAATTTGTTGTATTACAATTAAAACATATATTCCAAACATAGATTCTGAGTTCATATTGTAGCATTTTATATATAAAAAAATCAGAAATGTGTATGAGTAATGTTGAAATGTTTCCAGACGGGCATAAATGAGTCTTTGTGGTCTATGAGAACAACAAACAGGTTTGTTTTATTCAGCTTCTGTTTGTTCAATTGTGTTTTGTTCAAATAAAGAATGAAAGAGGCCTGAATATATTTTTATTGTTATTTTTGAGTGTCAACCCTTAAATTCCCATGTAGAGATTTACAAGCTTTTTGGGTATTGTACCATGGTAATACTTTTTTAGACATACAGTATGGTATTCTTTACAGTATACCATGTAAAACATTAAATACATAATTAGTTAACTAATGATTTGAACATACGAAAATCATAGAAACACACAAAATTACTAGAACTTTAAATAAAATTACAGTGAAAATGGAAAACATAAAAATAAAATTGATCAAGATATTAACAAAAGCTATACCAGTGACACTAAAATAACAGTGGTACAATGCTATATATTAAAATATCACAGTATTATATTAGCCACCTTGACATCAAACGGGAATTTAATACAATGACAAATATTTTGAGATGGTGATCTCATATTTATTTATTGTTAGTAACTACAGTATTTGTGGCGGAAACTGTAGTTACAGTGATGAATTTATTGTAGGGTTTGCAATAAGATTTTCAATTGAAATGCAGCAAATAAATGCTAAATATATACTAAAACTGTTGTGATTTTAATTGAAAACAATCATATACTAAACAATGTATAACAATATAAATGATAAATATATTAGTACAAATGATAGGAAAGTTACTTTAAACGTATTAACGGAAATATACTGTAAAGATATTAATCAAATTGTATGTTTACATAAAAACTCATATTTCCTAAATCCTTCTCCATGAATGGCCTCTTGACGTCGCTCACACGTCCACGCACGTGACGTCACGTCCATTCGCACGCGCTGATTTGACGGGAATTACTCGACTTCCGGTCGAGGAGCAACACAAGAGACTTCCCTGCGGCGGCGGAGAGACACAATAACAAAGCCATGGGAGAAATGTCCGGCTTCGAGAACAGACTGCAGTCGTACTCTTCCACACAGCTGCACGAACTGCTGGAGGACGATGACAAGCTCCGGAGAATGGTCAGGGAGATGGAGGAGGTGGGTTTAATCCCGGAATATGATGATATGATCAGGGACAGCTGCTCGAGCTTTCATAGCACTGCTGCTTTCGTGTGTTGCGTTATTTTGTTGGATTCTGGGACAGAGATCTTTCACATTTGACTACAGCAGTGTTGATTTATTGGGAAGTGTTGTTGACTGAAGGAGTGTGTCAGACTAAAGAATGAAGGCAGTATGAACTGACCTTATAAATTAAAGACAAAAAGATGACTGTGATATGAAGTTGGACTGGTTTAGTATGAACGCTGTGCTGCTGTCAACCAAACATGCAATTTGTTTAGTATATATAGCTATACTGATAATACCTTAATATGACTGATTATTGATTATTAGAGTTTCATGTATTTTTTTCCATGTCTTAAAATGTCAAAAAGTGTGAAATGTTTTTATCATCCAAATTATCATCCAATATTATTTATTTTAATAATAAACATTTACAATCAATCATATATGTGTAATTATATATATTAAAAAAACATGTTATATTGTTCAAATATATAAAATAAATTACTATAATATTAAATGAATAGATTATTTATAGCCATATTAATATTTTTGAATATTTGCAGCCTATATATAAATTATTGCTATATATTAAATTATTGTTTTATTACATTATTTTAGGCCCTTTTAGATGCTTTTTTATGTTCTTATGTTTATGTATATATATATATATTTATAAATTCATGTACTCTCTTAAGCAGTACATTTTATTAAATTATATTAAGTTTTATTTAAATACATTTTAAGTTTTATACATAAATTATAGCTTTATTACATTATTTTAGGTCCTTTTTTTTTTTTTTTTCCTTATTTTATAGTGCAAGGGCTGTGTAAATAATCTTGCATTGCACTGCTGAGTAGTTGAAAAGATCCTTGAAGTATGGTCTGTGACTCACAGATGCAGGACATGCAGCAGAATAAAGAGCTGACGATCGCCAGTAACCGCAGCCTGGCGGAGCAGAACCTGAGCCTGCAGCCTGAGATGGACCATCAGAAGATCCAGCTGACCAAACGCTACTGCTGTTTACAAGATCTGCACGAGTCCTACCAGCTCCGCAGATCCACCCTAGGTCAGATATGAATTTACCTCACTCACACTCTTAGTTTTTCTATTGTTTTCATACTTGCTGAAGCTAATTTCTGAAAAGTAGTTTGACCAATAGCGTGCAGGCATGGTACATAATCAAGCAATCGTGGCATGCGAGAAGGCGGGATCTACAGAGAAAGTCAAAGCAATGCAAATACATGTGTATAAAAGGTATGAGGACTGTAGAGAGAACGTCAACATGAAAACAAACCCAAAACCATTAGAAATCTCAGCCAGGACATGTCCCGGAAAAAAACACCAGCTTATTTAAACACATTGAGCAAAAGTGATGCAGAAAAGACAAGTTGGTGAAGAGAAAACATCCTGCAGCATTTGAGACATGCATGATGTTCAGACATTTTTTAAGCATGACCCGAGTATCCAAATACTTTGCACAATTTAAACTATGTAAATATTCCGGTGAAGATGGGACCACAAAAGATTTATCCAAACCTTTTTTGTCTTCCTTCTTTGGTGTAAAACAAACGGTGAACCTGTTTGGTCACATAATGCTTCCTCTTTATTTCAGTTGCAGCTGGTACTGATCATCCCAGGTCAAATCTGCACACAAATAGCAGTGTTAAAGGGCTGTATTTTGTGCTCTATATTTATCCAGTTTTCTCTAGGATTTATTTTAAGACACCTTTTATATTGTGTTGTCAGTGTAATGATTTAGCAGGTCAGACGTTTTGAAAGTGAGTTTATCAGGGTCCGCTTAGAATTACACTGATACAAAGACTGCTTGAATAATTTCCCAAAGAAACTCTACACTGATGTAAAGTTATCCACACTGTAAAACACTCCCTCTATTATTAGACCTGTGCTCTTTATGGGTCTGTCTGGTGACTATCCGGTACAGCATTTCTATAAAAGCAATGCAAAATGCTCACAGCGCTGTCTCACTTTTTTTAAAGGAATAATTCACCCAAAAATGTACATTTTCTTGCCATCAGGCAATCCAAGATGTAGATGAGTTTGTTTCTTCATTGGAACAGATTTGGAGAAATGTAGCATTACATTACTTGCTCATCAATGGATCCTCTGCAGTGAATGGGTACCGTCAGAATGAGTCCAAACAGCTGATAAAAACATCACAATAATCCACAAGTAATCCACACCACTCCAGTCCATCAATTAATGTCTTGTGAAACAAAAAGCTGCGCATTTGTAATAAACAAATCCATTATAAAGTCGTTCCATCATAAAGACAATAACTGATTGGAGTAGTGTGGGTTGTGATGTTTTTATCAGCTGTTTGGACTCTCATTCTGACAGCACCCATTAACTGCAGAGGATCCATTGGTGAGCAAGTGATGTAATGCTAAATTTGTCCAAATCTGTTCTGATGAAGAAACAATCTGATCTACATCTTCAATGGCCTGAGGGTGAGTACATTTCCAGCAAATTGTCATTTTTGGGTGAACTGTTCCTTTAACATATCCTCTATGACCCATCAACTGTCCAATTAGAAATTAATGTGTATTAATGGGTCTTTCTAACTGCTAATGTAATACAACTGGATGACACTGATGAAATATTGAAGTTATTTCACATGTAATCATGTTTTAAATTGGATCTTTTTTCAGGTAGCAGTTCACTTGACACATTGTTGGCTCTTTTGCAAACCGAGGGAGCCAAGATCGAAGAAGAAACAGAGGTAACAACATTTTCCATATTTTCAGAAATCCATAACACTGATTTTTACACAATGTTAATTAAGATTCTCCCATGTGTTCTGTAGAACATGGCCGATTCATTCTTGGACGGATCCTTGCCCCTGGACAGCTTTATTGATGACTACCAGAGCAAGAGGAAGCTGGCACATCTGAGGCGTGTGAAGATCGATAAGCTCCAGGAGATGGTGCTGAAGGGTGTTCATCTTCCTCAGGGTTCCTCTACTGATCCTCCACAACCTCAGGAGACCCATGACTCCACTGCACCTTTCCAAAGGCTAGCTAATGGTTCTCCAGCTCACGTAAGACCAGCACCAACATCTCAACCATCAGCAATGCCTTACAACCCTCAGAGCATCGGTGCTCCTCTGCCAAACACGGTGCCATCATATTCATGTCTATACCCACAAGCACTCCCTCAAGGGCCTGGCGCTGGTCTTCCCCCGCGGGCAGGTTTTATAATGCAATGATGTTCTTCTGCCTGAGCCTTTCCACTAGAATGTGAAATGTCATTTTCCTCCCTCTTTCTTTAGATGCACTTTGATCGTAACAGGTTTGGGTTTCTGCAGGTCCACAAAGAATCTGTGCCCACAGAATTCAGATGTTCAGCAGATTTCGGCTCATTCTCTGCCACTTATATGTATTGTATCTTGGTATGAAATTTATTTCACATGTTCAATACAGAAAATGCAGAAAGGTCTACAGATTGCCTGTTGGTTAACAATATATTCATTTCAGTTTGTTTGCATAACCTAAAATGATGTAAGATGAATTAAGATTATGATTCAGAATCAAAAGTTTTAATCAGAAAAGTAATGGGGGTATTGCATTTCGTATGTAAATATACTACTTGAACTGAAAATGTTCAAATAGGTCCTTATGTACATGTAAGACAACTTTACTGTGTACTTTTATATTTTGTGTGGAAACCTTCCTATTGTCACTGTATCGACAACAGACAATATTGGCATTTTGGACTTCTGGGTTAAAAACTGACCAAAGATGCACTCCAACTGTTCCATGGGCGCTCCGTTAAGTGGTTTTGAATATAGTGGCTTTGTTGGACTTCATTTTGATTTCATTTAAACATGAAATGAAATGTGGCATTAACAGACCAGCCTGACAGTAAGTCTGCTGTAGAAAGACTTTCTTAGTGTTAATCAGACTTTAATAAACAGTTTAATTATCCTAAACTGAATCAAACTATCCTTAAACAGCTACCATATAAAAAATAATATGAATATGATATTATAAAAATAATTAGAACACTGTTTACAACATTACAGATATGTAAAGTGATCTATTTTGGCGCTGTATTTCTGATGAAATCTGTCTTTGCAGAGAAGTGCAGGTACTTTGATGTAAAAACTGTCATGCTGGGTTGTGACAATTCTTGTGCACGTTTTATATGAAGGATGTTATTATGCAAGTCTGTAAAGTTAGAGTAAAGTCACTTACTGTATACTGATGTTAGTACAGGTTAAAAGAAATCAAATGTGCCTTGCAACAGAACCAACAAACAAGTGACGATTAATGAAGAAAGCATTTAATCACACCGTCGCTGTGCTTTGATAAATCTTCGAAGCCATCTACAACTTTCTGTTTCTGAAGACAATTTATGGTGCAGAATCCTTCTGAACTGTTTTATCTGTAGTGCGGTAACCTGTAACACTCCTTCTGTAAAGTACTTTACATTGTAGCTGTTTGATTAGTGGCTATCTGTGACTAGATTTTTTTTAATGCTGATTAATAAACGCCTAAAAGACTACTAAAAGTGAAATGTCAATATTTATTGATATATTCAGAACTTAATATCACATTTCTTCTTCTCCTTCTTCACCTTCTCCTTCGAGAGTGTCGACTCCCACCTCTTCATAATCTTTCTCGAGAGTGGCTAAATCTTCACGGGCCTCCGCAAACTCGCCCACCTCCATACCTTCTCCGACGTACCAGTGCACGAAGGCTCTCTTCGCGTACATTAGATCAAACTTGTGATCCAGACGGGCCCAGGCCTCAGCAATGGCTGTGGTGTTGCTCAACATGCAGACTGCCCTTTGAACTTTGGCCAGATCGCCTCCTGGAACCATAGTCGGCGGCTGGTAGTTGATACCAACCTGAAAACAGTTTAAACAACACATCTTTTCATACCTAACAACTCATGCAAATATTTACAAACATTAATATTGTATGCTATATTACAGCATTGTTCCACTTGTAATAGTTTGTTATATATTGCTATGTTGTTTTCTCCAGTGTACAGTCCAACGTAGAACACAAAAGACACAGGCTGACCTTGAACCCTGTGGGACACCAGTCAACAAACTGAATGGTCCTCTTGGTCTTTATGCTTCCAATGGAGGCATTGACATCCTTTGGAACCACGTCTCCACGGTACAGCATACAGCAAGCCATGTACTTCACGTGCTGAGGGTCGCACTTCACCATCTGATTGGCTGGCTGAAAGCAGGCGTTGGTGATTTCCATGACGGACAGCTGCTCATGGTACGCGGGAAGCGCTGATCGATGACACGATCTGGCCAATGAGGCGGTTGAGGTTGGTGTATGTCCAGGTTATTTCGGCAGATATCATAGATGGCCTCGTTGTCCACCATGAAAGCGCAGCTCGAGGGTGGTGTGTGTGGTCAGAATAGAATTGTAGGGCTCTACCACTGCGGTGGAAACCTGAAGAAGAAGCCCACAGAAAACAGTTTGAAGTACTTGCAATGTTTTTCATTATCCACTTGACTGAAATTTAGTGGATCTTGAGTGTGTTACAGGTGGTTTCCAAGATATTTCCCATTTTATAATATTTTTCATTTAATACAGTATTTAAGTGAAGCTTTGTACCATTCTGATGATAATAATAATAATAATTCCTTACATTTATATAGCGCTTTTCTGGGCACTCAAAGCGCTTTACATAGAAGGGGGGAATCTCTTCAACCACCACCAGTGTGCAGCATCCACCTGGATGATGCGACGGCAGCCATATTGCACCAGAACGCCCACCACACACCAGCTTATTGGTGGAGAGGAGACAGAGTGATGAAGCCAATCAGCAGATATGGGGATGATTAGGAGGCCATGATGGTCAGAGGCCAATGGGCGAATTTGGCCAGGATGCCGGGGTTACACCCCTACTCTTTTTTGAAAGACATCCTGGGATTTTTAATGACCACAGAGAGTCAGGACCTCGGTTTAACGTCTCATCCGAAAGACGGATGATGCAAAATTTCTCAGTATAAAGTGACTGAACAATACCAGAAAGCAGGGGCGTCATGCACGTATTATTTGGGGGGTTGGTTTGGGGGATGGGTGGATATCTCGATTCTCAAATATGCGTAAGTAAATGCATTTTGCACCTTTATAGATTGTTAGTTGATCTACTGTATAATGGGCGATGGGCAAATAATATTAGTGTAATCGATTAACTAAACATAAAATCCGTCTTTTTAATTAAGTAGTCCTACCAGATATGGGTGTCATGCCATAAAATATTTTAATACGATTGATACTGTATTTAGCGTGAATTTAATAAAAACATTGTAAGTTAGCCAATTATAACACTTTCTACAGAAAGAGCAAAGAACATTTACATTATCAACGAACATTATCATTGACGTCTAGCCAGAGTTCAAGCACTCTCAAAAACTCCCGTTATAATCACTGAAGTTGTTTACACAGTGAAATGAATCTCTTGCCTTCGTACGCACATCTGCCCTTGTTTCTGATGAGAGCAGAATTCAGTCAGCGCGCAGTGAACAAAACTTCAGCGATGACTCATCTGAAAGCCTCTGATTGGCAATTGCATTCATAAGCTCAACAGAATCGTGTGTGATTGGTTATAATGCTCAGCGCTGTCTGTCTCTGCCTCAGCGCCAGCCAGCCAACGCAGATTTGAATTTAGCAGCTAGTGATGTGCCGCACTTCACACCCGTGTGTTTGTATCAAATATAAAAAAATATATTATTTGGCTATTTTTCTCTTTTGGAAGCTGCATTCAAAATCCACTTGGCTCAGAAATCTGCTTGAACTCCACCCCTTGCATTCACATGTGCCAATGGATTACGCAAATTAACCAGCAAAAAGTTTTCCCATTTCAATTATCGTTTTTCTTAGCTGTACATCACAACACGTAAGAAAAGATCTGTCGCTATTTCTGTTTCATCTCGACTTTAAAGTGAAGGGAACTGAATAAAAATGTGGTACCTGAGGTGCAAGGTAAACGGCAAACTCAAGCTTGGCTTTCTTGCCATGGTCAATGGACAGCCTCTCCATCAACAGTGAAGCAAAGCCTTGAACCAGTTCCACCACCAAAGCTGTGGAAGATGAGGAAACCTTGTAGTCCAGTGCACTGGTCACACTAAATAAAAAAAACATAAATAAATAAAAAAATAACTCAAATCAATTAAAAATAAACAAACAAAAGACAAATCAAAACATTTTTTAAAAATACAATAGTATATAGGCTTATGTAATACTAAAATAACACTGGGACGGTGAAAATGGTCTCTATCTGACAGATTTTTGGACAGGAAGTGTTGAAAAAATGAAAGGGCTTGATGTCAGCAGAAAAGTGAACAATTTTCAGAGGCCTAGCAAGAGAATGGTTAATACAATTGGGTAATTTGTACAACCAAATCGTTCAAAAAGACCCAAAACGTATTAATAAACTAATTGGTCAATTAATCATACAAAACAATCTCCATGGCAACCATGTTTCTTTCAAAATACCATTACTTTTACTACAATAAACGTTGGTAACTTGCTATTAGTCACTACACATACAAGAAATACGATTCTTACACTATTTTAATTATGATTTACTTACACTATTTTAATTATGATTTACAGTAGTTACACTACATGATTGCCAATCATGTAAATAAACGTAAATGCATTCTGACCAACGACGGTGGCTTATTTTTGAAACTAATTATAATATAAATGTCAATCACTTGTTGGAGCATTATTATTGGTCCACATTAAATATTCGAATATAATCCTAATATAACGGGAATTTAAGTTATGATAAATCGAAATCCAAATATTTTGCTGATGTGTTTACCAGTAGGCTACTGCCAAATTGTAGATATATGTTTATAAATAAAATGTGCAAAAAAAATACAAATAAAAAAGTACGTTAATCGTCTGTAGGGGATATTTCACGGATGTAACCAACTATTGTAGTGCATGATTGCAGAACAATATCAAGTGTTCGTTGTCATGCATCGTTTCAGAATGACGCTGTATCTTTCATTCATTACCTTAGCAACGCGTGCCTTGTCTTTACATCAGCGCGCGCGGCTCTGGTGACCGGGTATAAATATCAGCTACATGAGCGCGAGAACTCAATGCAGTGGTGTGTTTGATGCTGCCAACATGAGCGGACGAGTAGGAGACCTCAGTCCCAAACAAACTGAGGCTTTAGCACAGGCAAGTAAATGCAAAAAAATCTCTTTTTTATTCCTGAATTTCAGGATATTTTGATATATTTTGAGTGTCATTCATAGTTTCGTTTAAGACTCATAACTGTTTACATATCAGTTTTAATATCAAATACGATACACACGACCGGTCAAAGGTTTGAGGTCAGTAAGTGTATTTATTTATAGAAATGAATACTTTTATTCAGCAAGGATGTATTCAATTTATCAAAAGTGACAGTAAAGATATTTATACAATTGCATAAGATTTCTATTTCAAATAAATGCTGTTGT